GCATGCCTTGGGACTTGCCTAGACAACCGTTTTCACGCCACTTGGATGACTAAGGGCACTCTCTCCAGGCTTTGCTTGAGCTCACCCTGATATGTGCCTTCTTTTTCCCCTTCCTCGTCCCTTTCTCAGCCCCGACCCCCCCACTCCTCTCACCGGCAGGTCCACCAAGCAGCACACAATGCATCGCTCCCCTCTGCTGCACACCAACGCCAGGCACGCAACAGCAGCCGGCAACTTGTGCGGCAGCTCCCTGCGTATTTATTACTATGCATTTGTGATTCAAGAAGCATGCATACACTCCCAAATTTAGTACATTTTTGGCACTTCAGGGCCAAAATCAAGCTCGTAGCCTCACAACATGTTTTATAAAACGAGTCCTTACAATTGTATCACTAAATACATAACCTTTATCACCCAACCCTGGATTCCTCGATACCAATCACGTGACTAGTCATATGCCCTTGCACGAATGCAGGGAATGGAAGGGAATGGCAGGGTATGGAAGGAAAGGTATGGCAGAGTATGGCAAGGTATGGCAGAATGAGGGACGGGCTTGGCTGGCGTATGGAAGGGTATGGGAGGAGATGGAAGGGTGTGGCAGTGTATGGCAGCGGATGGATGAGTATGGCATGCGACCATCCAAGGGTACGGTAGGGGTTAGAAGCGTATGAGAGGGGAAGAGGGGGAAAATGAGAGGAGATGGGGGGAAATGAGCGGGGGGGAAACGAGATGGAGAAGGGGGGGGAATGAGAAGGAGCACGTGGGGAAAGGAGAGGGAGATGGGGGGAAACGAGAGGGGAAGGTGGGGGGGATGAGGGGAAATGAGAGGGAGATTACGTGGCATTTAACTGAGTGGTTAAGGGGGGAATGAGAGGGAGCAGGGGGGAGAATGAGAGGGATAAGGGGGGGAAATGAGAGGAAGAAGGGGGGTACATGAGCGAGAGAAGGGGGGACATGACAGGGAGCAGAGGGGGGAATGAGAGGGAGAAAGGGGGGGAATGAGGGGCTTCATGGGGGGAATGAGAGGGAGAAGGGGGAGATATAAGAGGGGGAAGGGGAAGAAATGAGAGGGAGAATGGGGGTAAATGAGGGGGAGAAGGGGGGGACATGAGAGAGAGAAGGTGGGGACATGACAGGGAGCAGGGGGGGAGATGAGAGGGAGAAAGGGGGGGATGAGGGGCTTCATGGGGGGAATGAGAGGGAGAAGGGGGGGGGGAATGAGGGAGAGCATGGGGGGAAAATGGGGTAATCGGGAGGCGGGAAGGGATAATCGGGAGTGGGAAGGGGAAGCGGGGAGGCGGGAAGGGGAAACGGGGAGGCGGGGAAGGGGTAATGGGGAAGCGGGAAGGGGTAACGGGGAGGAGGGAAGGGGTAATGGGGAGCGGGAAGGGGAATTGGGGAGGCGGGAAGGGGTAATGGGGAGTGGGAAGGGGAAACGGGGAGGCGGGAAGGGATAATGGGGAGCGGGAAGAGGAAATGGGGTGGCGGGAAGGGGAATTGGGGAGAACGGAGAGGTGCGAAGGGGTAATGGGGAGCGAGAAGGGAAAACGGGGAGGCGGGAAGGGGAAACGGGGAGGCGGGAAGGGGTAACGGGGAGGCGGGAAGGGGAAACGGGGAGGCGGGAAGGGGTAATGGGGAGCGGGAAGGGGAAACGGGGAGGCGGGAAGGGGTAATGGGGAGCGGGAAGAGGAAATGGGGTGGCGGGAAGGGGAAACGGGGAGGCGCGAAGGGGTAATGGGGAGCGAGAAGGGAAAACGGGGAGGCGGGAAGAGGTAATGGGGAGCAGTTGTTTCTGATTACCCTCGCGACCTCAATTGCGGCTGCCGCCGCTACTGCGGAAACGTGGTAGCGAGGCCGCGCGATTGGGAAGCGACTGTGATCGTGCGTGTTCGGCAGTTTGAGACGCTGCGTGCGCGTTCACGGTGGCGTGAAGAGGCCGCGTGGTGAGGCGACGCGACGGACGACGAGGCGAGGCTGTGAGAAGGGGTCCGGCGGGCTCGCCGTGTTAGAGGGCGGAACTGACGAGTGCTCGGACGTGTAATTACACTAAACTGCCCCACGCGTCTAAGTTTGTGTCGGAAACGGGAGTGATTTGCGCTGGCTGTTGTCGCGATGTGCTTTGCTACGATTTATGCTGCCTGTTGAGCGTAGTGGCGTAGATCTCACATAGACTGGATTTCGTATACTTCTGTTATTCCAAAAATTTTGAATCACCAGTGAGCCCTGGGTGTCGGGGAGATCACCTCCCTTGTGAAGCGAGTGAAACTAGCTGTTGCTGGGTTACCAATCTTTCAGATTTCAAAACTTTTGAACCTCCCTTTTTCAAATGTATACGAAAGCTTTAAAGCCCGAGTACCACATGGTGTTTTATCAAGTTATGTGGGTTTGAAACCTGAAAAACAATTATTTCGGGATAGTCAGTGTAGCGAAAAAGCGATTGATTGACGAGGAGGAATGGGGTCTCGCCAAACGCAAAGCTTTGACAGACTTGCAGGGCAGTGTGGGGCGACTGGAAGGAGTGTCGCACTGATTGTTCTTTGACCAATCAGGATCAAGAAGTGGAGAACATCCTCGCCCAATGCAACTACTAGCAAAAACGAAAACGGGAAGCACCAACAACCTCAGAACGAGTGAGGAGAAAAAACACCACGATCAATCAAGCTAACAACTTGACGTGTGAAATAACCGCAGGAAGGAGGTGACGTAGGTGACGAGCCAGAACACGTACATGCTGGGTCGCAGGAAGGAGCGTTGAGAAGAACTCGACATCGCGCGATATGGGAGTACTTCGTGTTGTATTAGGCACGTCGATTACCACTGGCAGCACGTAGGTCGACAGTTTCGGGGCATTGCTCCCGTAAAACGTCACTGGTCGTCTAGCAGCGCGTCGACCCGCAAACGTCCAGCGCGCGCACTGGTCTGTTCGACAAGCAGCGTGGAGAGGGCGCTGGAACGAGGCACCACCACGCCAGGACAGGTACACGTGCTCCGCGCCCCTGCACTCTGCGCTCTGCCCCCTGCGCTCTGTGTTCTGCCCCCGGCGTTCTGCCCCCTGCGCTCTGTCCCCTGCGCTCTGCGTTCTGCCCCCTCCGCTCTTCGTTCTGCCCCCTGCGCTCTGCCCCCTCCGCCCCCTGCGCTCTGCCCCCTCTGCTCTGCGCTCTGCGCCCTACGCTCTGCGCCCTGCGCTCTGCGCCCTGCGCTCTGCGCCCTGCGCTCTGCGCCCTGCGCTCTGCGCCCTGCGCTCTGCGCCCTGCGCTCTGCGCCCTGCGCTCTGCGCCCTGCGCTCTGCGCCCTATGCTCTGCGCCCTATGCTCTGCGCCCTATGCTCTGCGCCCTATGCTCTGCGCCCTATGCTCTGCGCCCTATGCTCTGCGCCCTATGCTCTGCGCCCTATGCTCTGCGCCCTATGCTCTGCGCCCTATGCTCTGCTCCCTATGCTCTGCGCCCTATGCTCTGCGCCCAATGCTCTGCGCCCTATCCTCTGGTTCCTATTCCCCTTCTCGCCAAACCTCCACCCGCCCCCGCCCCTTTCCAACCCCTACCCCTCATGGTTGTCCCCTTCCTCCCTTTCCCCCACCCGTTTTCTTCCTCCCGCATGAGGCAGGGAGGGAGGGCAGGAGAAAGGAATTCGAGGGGGGAGTGTCGTCCACTGTGGCATGTCTCAACCTCTCATGTGTGTCCCGCCCCTCCCCCTCTCCCCCTCCCCCCCTCCTCCTTCCTTTCTCTCTGCCAGCCGCGCCATTCCCCTGTTCCTCCTCGCAGGGGGGGTGGCGCACAACATAGCGGAGTGCATGGCAGCACTCTCCGCCGCGCCCTTCCTCATCTCCGCCGTGGGGGATGACGCTGCAGGCAGGTCGCAATGCTGCTCTGCTCTGCTCCCCATGCCACTCCCCTCCTCCTCTCCTGCTCCCCTCCAGCCTGCCACTCCCGTCCCTCAAGTCCACCCCCCCCCCTCTCTCACGGCCCTCTAGGCCCATGGCCCACCCTTTCTTCCCCTCATCCGTGCTTCACCACATTTCCCTCCGTGCTTCACCACATTTCCCTCCCTGCTTCACCACATTTCCCTCCGTGCTTCACCACATTTCCCTCCCTGCTTCACCTCATTTCCCTCCCTGCTTCACCTCATTTCCCTCCCTGCTTCACCTCATTTCCCTCCCTGCTTCACCTCATTTCCCTCCCTGCTTCACCTCATTTCCCTCCCTGCTTCACCTCATTTCCCTCCCTGCTTCACCTCATTTCCCTCCCTGCTTCACCTCATTTCCCTCCCCGCTTCCCCTCATTTTCCCCGCTGCTGGCCCCTCATTTCCCTCCCTGCTTCTCCTCATTTCACCCTTTGCTTCCCCTCATTTCCCTCCCTGCTTTCCCTGTTTGTACCTGCTTCCCCTCATTTCCCCCCTGCTTCCCCTCATTTCCCCCCGCTGCTTCCCCTCGTTTCCCCCTCGTCTTCACCTCGTTTCATCTTCCTATCTCTCACTTTCCCTCTCCCCCTCTTCCTATCTCCCCTCTTCCCTATCCTCCCTCTTCTTACGGTACTTCCTTCTTTCCCTCTCAGCCCTGCTTCCCTCTTCCCCCTCTTCCCTATCTCCCCTGTTTGACTTTAGTCTTGTTCCCCCTCCCCATCCCTCGTATTCCCTCCCTCTCCCTGGGTAGTGCAGTGACACCAATGAAGATTTTCTGGCACAGCAACTCGCCGAAGCCCATCATCCCATGCCACGCTCGTAGAGAAACCAGTTCCCCTCATGTTTTTTTCAAGGCCTTGAGAAGGGTACAATCAAAAGTATCAGGATCATGCCTCTATCTACCCTTCTGACACTCTTAGTGCCCACGCATCTTGGAAGAATATATTGCACTGCAGAAACAAAATTACATATTGTGCTTTTGAGATGGATATCTCCAACAGTAATACAGTATCATGCTTGCATACAACAGGCAAGAAACAGGTGGTGGTACGGTGTAAAGCATGGACTAGCTCTAGCTGCGCCTCAGCTTGCTCCTCTGCTTCACCACTGAAAATTTGGGGAGTGGAGTAGGCAGAAAGAATTGTGTGACGGAACATGGGGGGGGTGGTGTGAGGTGCCAAGGGAACAACTGCAGGGGAACACAAGCAAGCGCACATGATGAAAGCATGTACTGGTATGGGGAGACAGTGATGGGTGCACATGCATGGGAACTAGAGGGCGGAAGGTGAGGGGGAAGGGGAGGGCATGACATGAAAGGGAAGGGTTGAGAAGGGATGGAGAAGGGAAGGGCAGGGCAGGGAGGGAAAGGCGGGGATGGGGAGGGCAGGTGGGAACAGGAGAGAGGGTGAGGGGAAGGAGGGCTGAGGGTGGCGGGAAGGAGAGTGCGAATGCGAGAGGACGGAGAGAGAGAGAGTGCGAGAGGACTGAGAGAGTGAGTGCAGGAGGAAGGAGATTGAGAGTGATGGGAGGAAGCAGGGGAGGGGATGGGGGTAAGCAGGGAAGGAGATGGGGGGAAGCAGGGAAGGGGATGGGGGGAAGCAGGGAAGGGGATGGGAGGAAGGAGGGAAGGGGATGGGGGGAAGCAGGGAAGGAGATGGGGGGAAGCAGGGAAGGAGATGGGGGGAAGCAGGGAAGGAGATGGGGGGAAGCAGGGAAGGGGATGGGGGGAAGCAGGGAAGGGGATGGGAGGAAGGAGGGAAGGGGATGGGGGGAAGCAGGGCAGGGGATGGGGGAAAGCAGGGAAGGGGATGGGGGGAAGCAGGGAAGGGGATGAGGGGAAACAGGGAGGGGGATGGGGGGAAGCAGGGAAGGGGATGGGGGGAAGCAGGGAAGGGGATGGGAGGAAGCAGGGGAGGGGATGGGGGGAAGAAGGGAAGGGGATGGGGGGAAACAGGGAGGAGGATGGGGGGAAGCAGGGGAGGGGATGGGGGGAAGCAGGGAAGGTGATGGGGGGAAGCAGGGAAGGGGATGGGGGGAAGCAGGGGAGGGGATGGGGTGAGGCAGGGAAGGGGATGGGGGGAAGCAGGGAAGGGGATGGGGGGAAGCAGGGGGAGGGATGGGAAGTAGCAGGGAAGGGGATGGGGGGAAGCAGGGAGGGGAATGGGGGGGGAGGGGATGGGGGGAAGCAGGGAAGGGGATGAGGGGAAGCAGGGAAGGGGATGGGGGGAAGCAGGGGAGGGGATGGGGGGAAGCAGGGACGGGGATGGGGGGAAGCAGGGAAGGGGATGGGAGGAAGCAGGGGAGGGGATGGGGGGAAGAAGGGAAGGGGATGGGGGAAACAGGGAGGGGGATGGGGGGAAGCAGGGGAGGGGGATGGGGTGAATCAGGGGAGGGGATGGGGTGAAGCAGGGAAGGGGATGGGGGGAAGCAGGGGGAGGGATGGGAAGTAGCAGGGAAGGGGATGGGGGGAAGCAGGGAGGGGGATGGGGGGAAGCAGGGGAGGGGATGGGGGGAAGCAGGAAAGGGGATGGGGGGAAGCAGGGGAGGGGATGGGGGGAAGCAGGGAAGGGGATGGGGGAAAGCAGGGAAGGAGATGGGGGGAAGCAGGGAAGGGGATGGGGGGAAGCAGGGGAGGGGATGGGGGGAAGCAGGGAAGGGGATGGGGGGAAGCAGGGAAGGGGATGGGAGGAAGCAGGGGAGGGGATGGGGGGAAGAAGGGAAGGGGATGGGGGGAAACAGGGAGGGGGATGGGGGGAAGCAGGGGAGGGGATGGGGGGAAGCAGGGAAGGTGATGGGGGGAAGCAGGGAAGGGGATGGGGGGAAGCAGGGGGAGGGATGGGAAGTAGCAGGGAAGGGGATGGGGGGAAGCAGGGAGGGGGATGGGGGGGGAGGGGATGGGGGGAAGCAGGGAAGGGGATGGGGGGAAGCAGGGGAGGGGATGGGGGGAAGCAGGGAAGGGGATGGGGGGAAGCAGGGAAGGGGATGGGAGGAAGCAGGGGAGGGGATGGGGGGAAGAAGGGAAGGGGATGGGGGGAAACAGGGAGGGGGATGGGGGGAAGCAGGGGAGGGGATGGGGTGAAGCAGGGGAGGGGATGGGGTGAAGCAGGGAAGGGGATGGGGGGAAGCAGGGAAGGGGATGGGGGGAAGCAGGGGGAGGGATGGGAAGTAGCAGGGAAGGGGATGGGGGGAAGCAGGGAGGGGGATGGGGGGGGAGGGGATGGGGGGAAGCAGGGAAGGGGATGAGGGGAAGCAGGGAAGGGGATGGGGGGAAGCAGGGGAGGGGATGGGGGGAAGCAGGGAAGGGGATGGGGGGAAGCAGGGAAGGGGATGGGAGGAAGCAGGGGAGGGGATGGGGGAAGAAGGGAAGGGGATGGGGGGAAACAGGGAGGGGGATGGGGGGAAGCAGGGGAGGGGATGGGGGGAAGCAGGGAAGGTGATGGGGGGAAGCAGGGAAGGGGATGGGGGGAAACAGGGAAGGGGATGGGGGGAAACAGGGAGGGGGGTGGGGGGAAGCAGGGAAGGGATGGGGGGAAGCAGGGCAGGGGATACGGGGTAAGAGGGGATAGGATCGGGGGAAGCACGGCAGGGGATACGGGGAAACAGGGAAGAGGATGGGGGAACGGGGGCAGATGCCGGGGAGAGAGTTGGGGGGAGGATGGTGGGGAGCAGAGAGGGGATCAAAACGCTGTTCGATTGTGGTGGCGGAAGCGACCACCTCTGTTCCTCCCCATCTGTTCCTCCCCATCTGTTCATCCCCATCTGTTCCTCCCCATCTGTTCCTCCCCATCTGTCCCACCCCTTTGGAAGGAATGAGGGAGGAAGGGCGGGCTGGAGATGGTGAGATGGGGAGAGGGGAAGAGCGGATGGAAACGCGGATGACGAGGGGAAGCGCGAGTGACTGGGAGGCAAGCCCGACGACGGGACGCGCGGGCGACGAGGGGAGGCGAGGGCGGCGAGGGTCGGCAAGGGTGATGAGGGGAAGCGCGAGCGACGAGAGGGAATGTGGGTGACTAAGGGAGGTGAGGACGGCGAGGATCGGTGCGGGTCGACGAGGGTGATGAGGGGAGCGCGGGTGACGATCTGAAGCGCGGTATGTTTACTATCAGCAATTGCGACGAGGGGATGTGTGGTTGACGTGGGAAAGCGCGGGCGACTAGGGGAACATATGCGACCAGAGGGTCGGGGAGGGTGATGAGGGAAAGCGCGGGCGACGAGGAAAGCGGTCTGACGTGGGAAAGAGCGGCCGACGAGGAGGAACATGTGCGACTAACGGCTGAGTGCGTCACGCGAACCACTACGGCATTCGCGTGAGCGACCCGTGCCTACGATCGTGACACGAGGCTGAACCGCAGCAAGTGTGACAAGAGCCTGCGTGTGCGACGCGAGCTTGAATGCAAGACTCGAGTAACGCGAATCTCGTTTACTAACGTAAGTGCCGTGGGTGCCCGGGTTGTAACACGAGACTGGTGACGCGAGGGAGAGATCGGAGCGTGCACTGACTAAGATGGTTGAGGTGGACTTATATTTCTTTCCGCACAAAAAAAAAGCCTATCAACGACTCGCTTTTGCCAACTAGCGCTAGTTTTTGCCTTGGAGCCTCCTAGCCTATGAGTACTACTTGGTAAGCAAGTTATGTGAGTGGTGAACAGAGCATATGGTTGGCGATCATCGCGTCAGTTCTGGTTTTGGGCACTCGGGTTCCGTTGTCGCAGGACGATTGCCTGAGGTCGCGAGAGTTTTTTCAAAACAAGCAGGGTAACCCTGTTTTTGGCGACTTCAAGTTCAAGAATCTTGAACTTGAAAATTACCATGCTGTACTCGGGCTTTAAACGCTTCCGCTAATTACAACAAGTCCTACCCAGAGTTCAACCCTGCAAAGATCCTAAGGGCTTTTTTTCAGCCCAACAAGTGGTAGGACAAATAGGTAGCCATGCCATGTATTGATGTTTATGCTTCTCATAAGAAAACATTCTCGCTTCAGAGCAGCCATGCACATGGCCACTACAAAGAGGTGGAACAAAGCATAATATTGCTTACTATATTAAAGTTGTCAACATTGGACTAGAGGAACAATGCACAAAGCTAGGAGGTGGTAACTTTCTATCACATTCCTGTTGGGACTCATGGTGCTGGGCACCTGTCTAAGCATGGTTCTGTGATAGAACGGGGAGGGAAGAGGGGGTTTGGCAGATAAGCGAGGGTTGGATGTGGACGGGGCAGAGGGGTGAGCAAAAGGGGAAAGAGAGTGAGCAGGGGGGAGAAGGGGGTGAGCAGGGGGGGAGAGAGTGAGCATGGGAGTGAGCAGGGGGGAAGAGAGTGAGCAGTGAGCAGGGGGGAAGAGAGTGAGCAGGGGGGAAGGGAGTGAGCAGGGGGGAGGAGAGTGAGCAGAGGGAAAGGGTTGAGTGAAGGGGGAAAGAGAGGGGTGAGAACAGGGGGAAAGGGAGTGTACAGGAGAGAAGAGAGGGGAAGGGTTGTGCAGAGAGTGAGCGGGGGGGAGAGCGTGGGCAGGAGAGAGTGAACGGCAATGGGAGAGGTAGTGAAGGCGACGGGCGGGAAGCGAGTGCGACTGGCGGGGAAGCGAGTGCGACTGGCGGGGAAGCGAGTGTGACGGGCGGGGGAAGCGAGAGCGACGGGCGGGAAAGGCGACGGGAGGGGGAATTGAGCGCGACGGGGTGGGGGGGAAGTGAAGGCGACGGGGGAGGGGAAGTGAAGGTCACGACGGGGGGGAAGAGAGTGAAGGCGATTGGGGAGGGGAAGTGAAGGCGACGGGGGAGGGGAAGTGAAGGCGACATGCGTGGAGAGCGAAGGCGACGGACGGAGCGAAGGCGACGGGCTGGGGTCGCGAAGGCATCGGGCTGAGGTCTTGAAGGCGACGAGCTGGGGAAGCGATGGCGAAAGAGATCGGAAGCGTGGGACCTAGGGAAAGGAAAACGAGGGCGAGGAGAAGTTCACGCTTGGGCGAAGGGTCACGCTACGATATTCGCCGCGAGTTTACGCATCAGTTGCACTCGAACCTGCATTTCGACACTCGCGAACACTATCTTTGCGCGTCGTCATCGAAATCCGCGCCACACACATTCGTAAGGCGCCTCTGATTCCCAGCTATGTCTACAGGTATGCTCTATGCCTAGTTAGCTGCGTGCTATCTCAAACTGTGCACAGTTTGGGATGGACGCCTTTTTCTGGTTGTTGTGGGAAGGACCCCACCCATCACTCATATTCCTGTACGCGAGAGACTTTTGTCGCAAATTGGTTTCGCGAGTGAAAGTGCTTCGCACCCCAACCGAACCTCCGTCTGCCTACCTTCCGAACCTAATTTTTCCCGTTGACTTCCGTTGAGTAATTCAGGTCTTGGGCTTTAATCTAACATATCCAGGTTGGGAAGAGTAAACTCAAAGGTTCTGTTTTGGTCACTTTCTCAAGAGTGTGACTAATGTGAGAAGTGTGTTGAAGAGCGACAACCAGTCGGCGTCCTTTTCGGCAATCGTACGAAACTAGATGTCTAGTTTGCAGGTGTAACGTATTACCCTAACTACCGAGCTAACAACCATCGATCTCTCTCTAAGTCAATTGTTGAGAACTTCTCTCGACAAAGGAAGAGTTGGAGAAGATGGTTGAGTTGGTTGGGATGAAACTTGGTTTGGGTTTGCCAAGCCTCAACTTTGGAGGTTTGGAACATTTCCAACTCAACCAAGAGAATGTTGAAGGTTGGAATTCCAACCAATCAGAAACTGCCAAACAAGTGTTACAATCTACTCTATCCTAAACACAACCATTGAATGGTTCTAAGTTGGGTTTTCCAACCCAACACAATTGCCACATAGGCTCCAAGCCTAGGAACCATCCCACCATGGAAACCATGGTTGGGATAGTTCCCCAAGGGGTGTATTGAGGGGGTCTGAGCTAAGCAAGCTCATTCTGAACCTCCCACTCCAACAAAACAATTGGAAATGGGATTGTTTCTCTAAGTCCTTTTGGGCTCTCTCACAAGTCTCCCTACACTACTACTCCAAGTGCTTTTCATCAAAGGCATCAAGAAGATCTTCATCTCCAAGGCTATTAAGGCTAGTTAAAGCTACTATTTTGTATTGGAATATTATAAAAGCCTTGTAACCGCCATTATAATAGCCCTGGGCATTACATTGGTATCTAGAGAAAGGTTCTTCCTTGGCCTTGTGTGGCCATTTGCTACTTGGACTATTTTTTTTTAGAGGATCCTAGCTTGTGGATCCAGGATTTCATCCAAGGAGCTATCAAGATCTTTGAAGATTTTGAAGAAATTTCAAGATCTACAAGTGGTTCTTCAAGATCTACAAAAGCTTCTACAAGATCTCCAAGCTTCAAGCTTCAATCTCCTCAACACACCATTGGAGCTTCAAGATCTACAAGGAGCTCATTTTTCTTCATCAACATTGAGAAGAAATTTGAAAAGATCAATTTCTCTTACCCACCTTTGGTGGAAGACTCTTGATCTACTTTGTGTAGAAGAGTGTACCTTCAGATCTATAAAGGGCTTGTTGAGGATTACTCTCTTGAGTATATCTTGCTCTATCATTGAGGTGATAGAGAGATTTGGCAAACAAGTCTATCTTAAGAGATTCTGTATTGGATTATTCTATAAGAGTAATCAGATTTCTTAAAGATTATTATAAGATCTGTTGAGATCTCCTCTCCTTAACCTGTTTCATGGCTGCTGGTCAAGAGATGGATGCTACTAAGGAGGTGCCCGTTGTTGGCACTGAGGGAGATAATGCTGCTGCTGCTGCTGACATTGATCTCAACCTTGAGGATTTCGTGGTTGACATGGAGATCAATGGAAGTGAAGCTGACCTTGAGGCTGATGCTGAAAATGAGGAAGAGGCTGGCTCTGATGAGGGTGTTTCCAATGAAACTGAGAACATTGCTGTCAAGCTCCAGACTCAACTCACGGAGCAGAATATTCTCATTGGAGTGCAACAGTGTCGTATCCAGAACTTGGAGGCTGATTCTGTTAAGCTTCAGGCCTTGATTGAGCAGCTGACCAGGGAGGTGCAGTTGATCCCTAAGGAAAACGACACCTCCAGCCTCATTCAGGACCTGCACAACACTCTTCAGTTCGTGCAGGATCAGCTCAAGAAGCAGGAGAAAAGCATCTCTGTGCTTCAGACCCAGTACAGGGAGATCCGGCGTGGAAACCTCTACCAGCCTGCTCCTGCAGCAGAGCGAGTCGCCAACGCCGCTAACAGCCGTGCTGCACCTGCTGATGCACCTCCTGCTGTTCCTCCTCCTACTGGAGCACGTGCTGAGCCTCCTACTGCAGCAGCAACTGCCTTTGGCTCCTGCCCTTCGGCCCTGCCTCGTTTTGTCCATGGCAAGACCGACGTCGAGACTTGGCTCTCCATTGCGGAGGACTTTATGTCCATCCACAATGTGCGTAGCGAGGCTCGTGTGGTCGCTGCAACCCTTGCCCTGGACGACACTGCGAGCAAGTTGGTGTATGCCAACAAGCGCCACGCAGAGGCTAATGGCCATCCTTTTGGCTGGGAGGAGTTCAAAGCTGCCATGCTGGCGGCATTCCTGAGTCAGCCCCCGGCGCTCGAGGTGCGTAGCCGCCTGGAGAACATCCAGTGCGGTGACCAGCCTGTACGCGAGTACGCCAAGGAGTTTGAGAAAACTCTGTCGCTGCTAAAGACTGCTCTTCCTGAGAGCGAGGTCATCCACCAGTTCTTCAAGGGTCTCCCTGAGCACATCAAGCGTGTGCATGTTGTGCGCGGGGAGCACCAGTGGAGGACCTACAAGGAGTGCAAGGAGCAGGTCATTGACACGGATGTGAATTTCCGTGCGTACATGACTAACGCTCGTGCTCAGCAGCAGCAGCCTAGTGCCGAAGGCCCTAGGGGGGGGTGGTAACAGGACTCAGGCACACAGGGGCAGTGGCTCTTGGAAGAGGCCCTATCAGCAGAAGGGGGAATCCTCTGGGACTCAGTCCAAGAGGGCCCATGCTGGGCCTGCCAAGGATCCTCAGGATGAGGATAAGCCCCCGGCAGGCTGCCGCATCTGTGGCAAGCTCGGGCACAAGTCCTATCACTGCCGTTGGAGGAAGTCCGTCAAGAACTCCGGCAAGCCCAACCAGGGCAAGAAGCCGGATGGGTCTGGCCCTTCGGGCCCGAAGGATTTTCCGAAGTCCAACTAGGGGGTGGGTACCTAGTTGGTGAGCGAGATCGAGTAGATGAGGCTTATGTCCTTCGTGATGAGGATTTGCTAAAGCTAGAGAAGCTTGCATCATGCAAAATCGCTTGTTTGTATGCCTCTTCTATTAATGAAAAATCTGTTTTTAAAACTCGATCATACCCACTTGAAAACATCTCAATTGAATCCTTGAGAGATAAATTTTCAATCATCTCTTGCTCGTTCAACGAGTTGCCAACAATCATGGATATTGTGGACCGTTGTGTCCAAGAGCACCCGCTCACGTCAGTGGGATTGGTGACTCGAATCGTGAAAGGAGAGTTGTTCCGCCGATTTCACGAATGGCATATCCTGGCAACATGGGACAAGGGGCACCATGTTTGGTGGACCACATCCCAAAGGTTTGGACGCGCTCACAACAAATTTAGGGTGTACTTTCGACCTCCTAAACTTGTTGTCGCTTGTCCCATCCGTCCAAGATTTCAACAGAATCTACTGTTATCTGGACGCATGAATGGGGACGAAGCAAGGATTCTCGTCGATACAGGCGCGTCGGTTTCCCTTGTTGATGAAACTTGGGTTACGACACGCAACGTCCTCGTTGTAGGACCGTCGTGTCCCATCCGCTTGGGTGACGATCGTGTCATTCCAAGTAAAGGACAGACACATATCGACATGAAAGTACAGGACTATAGCGAAACAGTTCGCGTATATGTCCTACCACTTTTGTCAGGAGTCGACCTCATCCTGGGCATGGATTGGTTGAGAGCCAACGAAGTTATTCTGGACTTCCAGTACAACATTGTCTCGTTCAACAAGAACGGAAAGGCAATCCAGTGGCAAGTCAATGATACTTTGCCCACTGAAACACAGACGCCTGAACGTCCCAGCGCGCTGTGTGTGTTGGCCAACCAATTCGGGCATTCTGTTAAGTCGGCTGATACACTATTCGTGGTACAGCTTGAGAATGTCGAGGCCTCGGAGCCAGCAATTGAGGATTTCCCTCCTCAAATGAAAATACTGGCAGAGGAATTCAAGGAAGTGTTTGAAACCATCCCTGATGGACTTCCGCCTGACCGCGCAGTGGGTCACACCATCCCTGTTGAACCAGGAAAGGTTCCACCCTTTCGACCTCTGTATCGCCTCAGTCCAGCTGAGTACGAAGAGGCCAAACAACAGATCGAGGAATACCTCAGAAAAGGATGGATTGAACCCAGTGCATCCCCTTACGGAGCACCAATTTTGTTCGTTAACAAGAAGGGCGGAGGATTACGCATGTGCGTAGATTATCGTGCCTTGAACAAGATTACGGTGAAGAACAGATACCCTCTACCACGAATTGAGGATCTGTTCGATCGGCTCCAGGGAGCTCAGTGGTTCAGTGCGCTGGACTTAGCTCAGGGGTATCATCAGCTACGAATCACCGAAGAAGATGTTCCAAAAACGGCTTTCAGAACGCCGTTCGGGCATTTTCAGTGGCGTGTGTTAAGTTTTGGCTTGACAAATGCTCCCGCGTCATTTCAGCGAGCAATGAATGATGTGTTTCGGGAGGCAATCGGCCAATTCGTCCTGGTATACTTGGATGACATCCTCGTGTACTCGAAGACCGAAGAAGAACACACGCAACACCTGAAATGGGTGTTAGGAAAACTGCGAGAGCATAAATTCTTTGCTCGATTGTGGAAGTGTCACTTCTACAAACGCGAGTTGGAATACCTTGGTCACTTGGTAGGCAACGATGGCCTCAAAGTTGATCCAAAGAAAGTGGCGGCAGTCCAACAGTGGCCCGTTCCACAGGACGTGGGACAGGTCAGATCATTTCTTGGACTTGCGAACTATTTTCGCCGTTTCT